GGATAAGAAATGAATAAGAGTCAGGCCTTTCCTTTGTGGGCTTACTGTGAGGGATAAGAAAGCTCCAAATTTAATTTTAATAGAAGCAGAATTCAGTATCTTAGAATGTCCTGCAGGGATGTAAAGGAGGAACACTTAAGTGGAATCAGAAAAGACTTCATGGAATGAGTTTCTCCATTTGGGTACTCTAATCCCTTCAGTGTTTGCCCCATTCATTCAGTACATTTTTATAGAGCGCCCACAGTGTGACATACAGCATGAGGCTGAGGACGCAATAGGGAGTGAGACTGGAGGTGTTGCAGCTCCCCTGGAACTCGGCCTAAGGCACAAGGAGTTGGCAGCCCCAGCTTCGTACTAGTTCTGTGTCTGCCAGTCACTGTGTGGCTGCTTCTACTTTGTAAGGCTTACATACAAGGCATTGGGCTAGAGCTGCAGGGGAGGTGATGGAAGTCAATCAGAGGTCTCTTCCCTTGTGCAGAGATTCATATCTGTGTCCTTGAACGGAGACAGTGTGGATACCCATGGAAAATTAGCTCGTGGGGCAGAGGCATGCATAAGTGTTAAATTCATGGGGCAAGGGAGCATCAAGTAAAGTCTTACACAGTAGTGTAGATGACTGAGAGATGTCTCTTGAGGAGTGGCTGTGGGAAGATTCGCGGAGAGGCAGTCTTTGAGCTAGATCTTCGCAGGGTACCTGTGGTTTTTGCTGGCCTGGAGGAGGGAATGGCACCTGGTAGGAAATTGGGAACAGAGGCAGAGATAGGAATGTACATGGGTTTTGTGTGTGTGTTGACTAGATTAGAGGGTTGATTCTGGAGAGTAAGAGCCAGAAATTTGAAAAGGACCCGAGAGAACCTTGAAAGGGAGACCACACAGTTGAACATTCTAGCCTGATGTGACAGTGATGCTTGGCTTGGCGGCTCTTGGTCTGATTAAATTAGTGCATTGGATTTAGCTGAGGGTGCAGCTGGATTTGAGGGAAGGGTGGTCAGTCAGTGAGGTCGATTGCCCAGTTCTGAGACTGAGGGATGAAAATGTCAGCTAGGATTCTAGCAGGGGTGATGAGTTTAGTTTTCAAAAACATTTATGAAAAAAATCTATGACTGATTCTGTATCACGGCTGAAAGGTAGGACATTGTCAGAGATAACTTGGGTTTAAAACTGAGGGTACCTTTGATAAAAATAGGAAGCTAAGCAGGGCAATGAGGGATGATTTCTGATAGTGGGAGAATGGTGCGTGTGGTGTCTTACCTGCTGCTTTTGAAATATAATAACTTCAACTTAAACTTGCCTGCGATGCTTTCCACTATAGTGTGAACTCTGTGGGGGCTGGTCTGGTCTGTCTCGTTGAGTGTTCTGTCCAGCACCTGGGCAGTGTCTGGTGCCTAGGGGGCCCTCTGTAAATGGGTGAGTAACACGTGTTGATTCTGAGGTGAGCTGTCCAGTAGGCAGATGGAATATTAGACCCAGCGCTCAGAAAGACAAAAACACTCTTCTTATGCACTTTAGAAATGGCTCACATAGTGGAATGGGTAAGAGTGGGGGCTCTCCAGACGCAAGATAGGGGGAGAAGGGTACTAGGGCTGTGATCAATGCACATAAAAATGTCATCACTGCACAGTTGTTTGTGCAGAGGGATCGTGAGGGAAGAGGGGGGCTTAGGCAGAAAGGAGGGACGGAAAGCAGGAGAAGATGGCCCAACGGGCTCGCTTTCAAATCAAGGAGGAGATGGACACCAACCCCAAATTCCAGAGGGAGGCCGGGAATTGTCACCTAAGAGGAAGCTGGAAGCCCTAGGAGTCCTGAGGAAAACCCCCTGGACAGGGACAGTTATGCAAACAGGAACATGCTGTGCTGCCAGTAAATGTTTGAAGAATGGCACTTATTTTCTGTTGGTGAGCCATTGGTGGCTTTTTATCCTTGGTTACATCATGGGCCACAGCCCCTGTGGAAAGACCTTGAGGGCCAGAAGCTTGGGGACTTTTATCTGAAAGAACATCTGACTGGCCTAGAGGCACAGCCAGCCCCTAGAGAGCAATTGGTAAGGAGGATATTTGTCCAGGCCCTTCTCAGGGTGCAGTTTCTCTAGATTAGTCCCCAAACCCCACCACCTGGGAATAAGTCCAGATGCATTCCTGTGGTTGATAAACCATTCTGTGCTTTGCACTGCCAGTGGGACTAACCAGGCTGGGATGTACAGAGCCGCGCAATGTAGCAGGCTCTGACTTGCTGCCTTTGTGTCGTGTGTCACCCCTGCAGTGCATGGATGCCAAATATCTGGCCGTCTTTCTCATTCTTGAGTAGGTGTGCGCTGTTGGCCAAGGCTGAAGAGCGTTTCTCCCCCCCAGCAGGCACTCCTCACAGAATTAGGGTGGTGCTGGAGCCTACTAGGGCATTCTAGAAACTTCACTGGAACAGGGGAGGTAAGTGTGCAGAGTTTGTGTCTTATCTTTAATCCTAGACTTGTTTAGATATCTGAGTGAAAAAAATCACCAAGTATCAGTCTCCTGCCAGGACAAGGGGGTGTTATCATTGGCTGAGGGCCCTTGAAGGGCTTTGTTCACCTCTTAAGCCATTTTCACTTCCTCCCTCAGCCCAGCAACTTAAGTGAGTCTTGCTTGGTTTATTTTATATTTGTTTTGTTCTACCTAGGGACTTCTTTTTCTCACACCCTAGACCATCTTTGTTTGGTTTTCCTTTTCTCTTTATATTTTTTTTTTCAAATTTTCTGTTAGTTTGAATATCTATCTTTCTAGTAAAACTGTATATTCAAGAACTGCTTTTTTTTTTTTTTTCTTTTTTAAACTTTTACTTTGGCTTTCACGGTATAATTGGGCAATACAGAAAACACCTTTTTTTAGCAAAGTGTCAGACTTCGGGGAGTTAGAATACAGAATGAATTTAGTCGTAGGAGTAATTTGCTAGTTTCCATGGAAAGCAACCCAAATTTTCATCTAATGGTCAGCATCACTTTCTTCTTATCAGGCAGTAGCAGGACCTTTGGCGTATGTTGCTTTCTGAGGTCCTGCTTTAGTTGCTATACTTTCTGGATAGCAATCGTATGTGTGTAAGTGATTTCTTGTTAGATGTGAGTGTAAACGCGTTGTTAATAGTACAGAAACTTGATTTTAAACATGCAGGAGTAGTAAACTTTATGTCTGATGATGGTAGAATGAAATGTAGAAGTGTAAATATTCGTAGTACATTTTAGGACACTTTTGTTATCTGTCCCCAGCCCATTCCTTATCTACTCACCCCTTTTCCACAGGGTCTCATTGAACATTATGCAAAACATGGCCCTAAAACGATCTTGCCTATTTTATGTTTTGGCTTTTTGTGGAGTTGTTATCCACCAATGGGTGGTTAGTTCAGATTCCACTAGGGACATGGAGGTTAAATAAATTGTGGACATGAATCAGATTTACTTGACGTTTGAAGAGTTAATCTCTTTATATTGGGCTGAACTAGGAGATGTTATGTTTTTGTAGATCTCTCATATGTATATAATTGCTCTATGCTCAGCATGGTTATTCACAACAGATTACTGAGAAATCTGAGAGAAATGGCTGTTCTGTTCTCCAGATGAGATGACTGAGGCCCAGAGCTCGGGAAATCATCAGGATTTTCAAGGCTTTGGCAGGCTCAGGCTGCTACCTCCACTCTGTGGTTTGGCCTTGCCTATCAGGGATTTTCTTCTCTCCACTTCCACCGTCTCCCTCCCTGTCCCCTCTCTGTCACTCTTCTACACCCAGATTGGAAAAATGAACAGAGGCCAAGATTGGGCTGATCCATTAAATGTCTTTGTCTAAACTAGTATACTTGTAGTGTGGGGTCATCCCCTTTCATGTTGATAGGACATTATTAATGGAGAGTTAGATTAATGAATTAATTTGTTGGCACTGATTAACTGCCCAATTTGTTGAACATCTGCCACATGGACAGATACTCTGTATTGTAGATGTTTTCCATAAGTTTTCTTTAATGCTTAGAACAACTCTGCAAAGTAGGTGGGCTAGCTCTGATTTCCATTTGAGGAAATCAAGATTCGGTTTGAGCAATTTGTACAAAACCACATCACTGGTAAGTGGCATAACCAGGTTTTTTTTTTTTTTGTCTTTTTGGTGACCGGTAAGGGGATCACAACCCCTGGCTTGGTGTCCGCACCACGCTCAGCCAGTGAGCGCACCGGCCATTCCTATATAGGATCCAAACCCGTGGCGGGAGCACCACTGCGCTCCCAGCGCTGCACTCTCCCGAGTGCTCCACGGGGTCGGCCCATAACCAGTTTTTTTAATCCAGGATGGTCATCTTCAAACCTGGTTCTCTTTCTATTGTACTGTATCACTGCTCACAGACTTAATACAGTTTAAAAGGGATGAAACAAAAAAATTGTAATAATGCAGCAGCAACCAAATTATTTCTAGATAGTAATTTTAATCACTGTTATAGGTATAACGTACATACAGAGGAGGACATGCACAAAAAAAGTGTATCAGTGGATGAATTTTAAGAGCGAACACTCCTGTGTAACCAGAACCTATATCAGAAAACAACATTATCCATATCCCGGAAATCCCACTTTGACTGCTTGCCATTAACTGCCCACTCCCAAAATAACCACTGTCCTGACATCTGTTGGTTTTGCCTGTTTTTGAACACTGTATACATGAAATCCTTCAGTATGTACTCTTGTGTCTGGCTTCTTTTGCTCAACATCACATTTGTGAGATTCAGCCGTGCTGCTGTCACTCGCAGTTGTCTGTCCATTCTCATTGCTGCGTAGTATTCCGTTGTATCAACACACCACAATTCATTTATCCATACTACTGTTAATGGACATTTGGGTTGCTTCCAGTTTGGGGCTATTATGAACAGCACTGCCATGAACATTCTTATAAAAATATTTATGTTTTTAAAGAAAATGAATCCCATCACCTGTCTTCACTTTAATGTCATACTCTGTAAGGTGTTTTCTGTTTTTTCTTGTAGTGCAGGCCCACTGCTGTTAAGTTTATTCAGCTTTTTAATCTCTAAAAATGTCTTTATTTAGCTTGTGCTTTTCAAGCATATTTTCACTGGCTATAGAATTCTAGGTTGAAAAAATTTTTTCTTTCACTACATTTAAGTTGTTGTTCCAATGTCTTCTGGCTTGCTTTATTTCCAATGAGAAGTCTGCTGTCATCCTTGTCTTTGTCCCTCTGTATTTAACATGCCTCCCCGCCACCCCCACTGGAGGCTTTTAAGATTTTCTCACTTACCACTGATTTTCAGAAATTTGATTATGTGCATTGGTGTGGTTTTCTTCATGTTTCTTATGCTTGGGGTTCACTGAGATTCTTAGATCTGTGGTTTTGCTGTTTTCATCAAATTTAGAAAGTTTTCAGCCATCATTTCTTTAAATATTGTTTACAAACCCTTACCTCCTTTTCTGGGATTCCACCTGCATGTATATTAGGTCACTCGAAGTTTTCCCAAAGATCACTGAAACTCTGTTCATTTTTTAATAGTCTTTTGTTTTCTTCCTGTTTCATTTTGGATAGTTTCTATTTCTTTCTAAACAATTGCTTCTTCAGTGTCTATTTTACTATTAGTTTCATCCAGTGTAATTTTCATATTGAACATTATATTTTCCATCTAGGAAAGTTTAATTGTATCTGTTTTTTAGTTTCTGTATCTTCTTGAACATATTGAAATATAATTATAAAATAGTTTTAATGTTCTTTCTATTAATTTTATCATCTGTCTCATTTCTGAGTCTGTTTCTATTGATTGATTTTTCTCCACATCATGCATTTTTCTGTTTTTTTGCATGCATGCTATTTTTTTTTTAAAGATGACTGGTAAGGGGATCTTAACCCTTGACTTGGTGTTCTCAGCACCACACTCTCCAAGTGAGCTAACCGGCCATCCCTATATAGGGATCCAAACCCGTGGCCTTGGTGTTTGTTATCAACACCACACTCTCCTGAGTGAACCATGGGCTGGCCCTTACCTGCTAATTTTTTATTGGTTGCTAAACATTGTGAATTTTACATTGCTGTGTGCATGATAATTTTTTTTTCCTTTTTGTCTTTTTTACTGACCGGTAACGGGATCGCAACCCTCGGTGTCGCGCCCGTACTGGGGACCGGCAACGGGATCGCAACCCTCGGTGTTGCGCCCGCACCGCGCTCAGCCAGTGAGCGGGAACTGGTCTCCACATGGGATCCGAACCCTTGGTGGGAGCGCTGCTGCGCTCCCAAGCGGCGCACTGTAGCAGTGCGCCACTGGGCTGGCCCTACATTGCCATGTTTTAGGTGATTGTTCTAAAAAGGATTCAAGTATTAGTGCTTCCACATAGACTTAGATTTTAAATATTTAGATAAACATGAAAATTAGCATAATCTCTGAATTCTGATTTTTAAATCTCATAGGATTAGGTTTTGAATTCTATCTGTTTGATGTAGAAATATACAAATATGGAGCCAAAATAGTGTGATCAGAAACTCAGCTGCAATTAATCTTTTGTAGTCCAGTTGTGAAAGTTTTCTGTGGGAATGGTTATTCTACCATTGGAAAGCAGCCAACACAAAATACCTGGGATAGGAACAGTGCTCAGCCCAGAATGAACCTTTGAAAGAGAAAAAATAAAAAGCAAGGACTCAAAATCTGTCTATGAGGATGGGATTTCTTTATCCCCTGGGATAGGAGAGTTTAGCAATGATTTCTGTTAGTTGATTAGCATAAATTAAAGGCAGAATTCTCATCAGGTGGCATTTTTCAGTGCATACTCTTAATGTCTAAAATGCAATTCTTTGTTATTATTCAACTGCTAAAAATCTTTCAGTGAGTCCCCTCCACCTCAGAAGACCATAAAAGGCTCCTGCCATCAAGGTCTGTCTGCTTCTTGCTATGTCCCTACACTCTAACTGGAGCCATTCAGAATTCTGTGTAGCATCTTGATGTTGTGATAGACCATTTTGTACTTTCCGGAAGGTTTTTATGTTTGTAGCATGAATGGGCCTTGGAACCATTGAATGTTAGCAGTGAAAAATCTGTGGGTCATTCAGTTGAGCTCATGTTTTTGAAGAAACCAAGGTCTAGAGAAGAAGAGTTTTGTATATGAGGTTACCCAGACCTCTAAATAAAATATGTAATGGTGTTGGTCATCTGATTTGGCTAAAAATAGCTTCTATTTATTAAGTACTCATATACATGCCAGGGATTATACAGAGTACTTAACATATACATTTCCATCACTTCTTACAACAATATTCATTTTATCACATAGAATAATTTGAAGGTCAGAGGAGGTAAGCTTTGTCCAAGATCTCAAACCAGTTTTATTTCTCCTACCTTGAGCTGACACTAGTTTTTCTTCACTGACTTGACATTTTAAAGAAAATTGCTTTATGAATAAGTTACTTAACCAGTGAAGTGAATACAAGAATGTCTTTGTGTTATTTCTAGAAGACATATTTCATGTAATAATATACACTTAAAAAACACATTTACTTGCAGACATTTCTATGTCATCTTTACAATGAGGCTTCTGGATTACCTGACGCTATGTAAGGAAACTCACCTTGTTGCTATGGAATCCAACTAGCTCAGGGGCTCCCTCTATTGTTAGTTAACATATTACTTTGTTACTCACAAGTCCAAGGGGTCTGAGAAATACGAATATAAACCAGACATGGTCTTTGCAAGGAAGAAATGGTAAGATTTATATACACATCGCTGTAATACAAGGTGCAATTGATGAATACTAGGAAAAGAGAATTTTGGAATTTATAGAATTTGGGAAGGCTTCATGGGAGATCTGATGTTTATCTGGTCTGAAAGGATGAGTGAGATCTGGCTTTGTGGAGATCCAGGGTTGGGGTAAGAAGAGGATCAGCATACCTGCTGGCGGGAAGAGTGCTGGCAAAGGCCTGCTGGTGGAGGAAGGCAGAGTGTGGAAATACGGGGAGCAGTAGCATTTATTTCAGTTTAATTGGAGGACAGGATTTGTGAAATGGAAGAGTTACCTTATAACTGGAGTTGTGTTTTCCAGCTTTGGTAGCACTGAGCAAGATGGTTGGCAGAGGGAAGAGTTGAGCAAGAAAGTCATTGTGATGTAACCATCACAGTACTACTCATGGCTCCAGGGAGGACTATCACTGAGAAATGGCTGGAAGCCAGATCTCAGATCATTCATCAGCCACCATCACTGCCATGAGTACCCAGAGCCTCACAGGATACAAGTAGCTCCAGGCCTGCTCACCCCATCATTACTAAAGGGCGCCTCCCAGACTAGAGTGCAGTGTGTTCTGCTGCAGGAGGAGCTCCTGCTGCCCGACCCACAGGCCAAAGTAAGGTCTACACACTTGATTCAGGCTGAGGGGCTTCTGTGCCCTCTTTTCCAACTCCAGTTGTGAAGAAAGGGAGCCCAGTGAAAAAGAAGAGGAAAATGTTTGCCCTTGCATCACAGCAAGTCCTCTAGCCTACCTGCTCCAGTGTCGGTGAATCTCTAATAGGAGACAGGATGAGGCTCATCTTACCCCACTGATCCTGTGAGAGAAGAAAGACTTCCACAAAACTAAAGTGAAGTCAGAAAAAAAAAAAAAAATCCCAAGCTACAACTTGTTTCCTCGATTCAGAACTGAAGCTTCTTCCTTCTGCACACTCAAAGTTCTACCTGCCTCTTGGCACCAAGGCCCGAGACATGTCTTTACCCCAGCGCTGAGCTCTAGGCAAGGCTGGGAACGAATGTGTTGCATTGCCTCCAACTGTGGGAATAGTGGGAATGGAGGGACAGAATTGGGACGGAGGAGGGCAGGCAAAACCTGAGACCCTGGAGATCACATCAGTTAGGTAAGGGACAGAGTCACCCAGGGCTGAGCATCGACTGTGTTGGCCTTCTCACCTCACCACTGTGATGGCCGCTAGACATTGCAAAGTCAACATGTCCAAAATTGAACCTTTGCTCTGATCTCCCAGTCTGTTCTGCCAGCAGCCTTCCTGCTGTGACAACTCTAACCTTCCAGTTGCTCAGGCTAGAAACCTCAGAGCCTTCCCTGACTCCTTGCTCTGTGCTTTTCACACCTCATGTCTGTTCCTCCAGGAAATCCCAGAGACTTCACCTTCAAAACGTGTCCTGAGTCAGTCTGTCCACATGCCTGTGCAGCAGCATCCTGGCTGGAGCCATGTCACAGGGAGTGGTGTGTAACAGCTGCCTCCCATGCTCTCCTCGCCTGCCTTCATCTGTTCTAAGCCTAGGAGCTTAATACAGGAGTCAGATCTTGTCACCTCCCTGCTCAGAACCCTGAAATGGTTCCCCATGGCCCTTACACTGGCCTTCAAGTTCCCACATTCTCTGTCCTCCCACCCCCAACAATAACCGTCTGGCCACCCTGGCTTCTTTGCGACTCTTCATCCCCATCAGGCACGCTCCTGCCCGAGCCTTTGCATGAGCTGCTTCCTCTGTCTGGAATGCTAGAACATGCTTCTCCCACATACCCAGGGCTCACCCTCCCCTGCTATAACACTGAGCTTCCCAGGCAGTCCTCTGTTTTGTTTAGGCATCAAGGAGATTATCCATGGTTTAGGGGAGCCTTGGATGGAAGTGTGTAGCCTCCTTGTCTACTAATTAACTAGAGTGAAACTACTGTGGACTTTTAAGACAGTTGTGACTGCATAGAGGTATGTGCCGTGTATGTAGGATTTCAGCCAAGAAGCATATTTTTCTGCGGGCAACATACTGAAGTCAGGCTGGCTGTGATGGGTTCCCTGACTCACTGTGTGCAAGGTTTATGATTCTCAGTTCAGTTGAGGTTGTAGGCATTCTTGTTTAAAAGCTCAATGCAGAGAGCATCTGAGGAATGTTTGGTGTAATATTATAGCTCGATCTTTTTTTTTTTATCCCTATGAAATCTGTGGCTTTTTTTCTGTTAAATCTCTGACAATGCTCCACATCAGAGTAGAGGCAAAAAAGTAAAACCAAAATTGTCAGAGTAAATGTTCTCACTGTTACATAAAGCCTTACTGTTTGATAATTTTGAGCCTTAATCATACAGCGATACCTAAAACATCTAAACAAATGGTGCAGCTACAATTTTTCTATTTTGGATGACTTTCTTTGGATTTTCATTCTATTTTCATATTAGCTTTCAAACGATGTTGCTATAAAAATGTGAAGCATCATAGTTGGGTGGATAGAACACAAAGTGGGGGGGTGCTGGGGGCGGGATTGCACTCTTCAGCAGGGTCACAGGTCAGGCTCTGAG